GCCCGATGCTACAGCCGCGCCACGGCACTACACTGTAGGAATGCAGTACTATCTGTACCGACCACTTGTCAATACATCCACTCGATTCTATGCAGGTTATGTACTGCCCATTTGATAATTACCGCACTGTCCCGCTCTATTAAGTCTCAGTCACATACGAATTTCACCGACCACGTGCACCGCGCCGCACATGTAACACCACTTCGGGTGCACCGACCTTTACGGCGACAGCATCTCCCACGTGGCTGCCGGAAGAGGAGGGCCGGCTCTTACCTCTCCCTCACTCTTCGCAGTACACCGTCCTCTGCACCTATGTGATCTTCACAGGAGATAATCAGGGTGAATATGCTCGCACGATAAGCTAATGGCCGCTTTTACGGACTCCAGCGGACCCACCGTCCGCTGGCCGATGACTGCAGGGTGTGCAGCGCACACAACTGCAACCTCGCTCCCGCCCAGTCCAGCGCTTAGGTGTCACCTGTCAAGAGAGTATGCAAGAACAAAAGCCAAGACTCTACTGAATTCACTCCGGTGCAACAGCTGTTGCAGCATCCGTCGCGCCTCGAGGTGGCAGGGCACGGTACTGACTATGATACACAGTCCCGTTATCGATGCAGCAATAATAATTAGAGTCGTTCACTTAAATAATTACATCTCAGTTTTGGCACATCGCTATTAATAATTCTTATAGTTTCTCTCCGATATTTGATTTAACGTGAGTCAAAATATTCTCGCCCCAAAGGCCCCGTGCAAAACTCGATCGTGTCACTGCTGACACATGCAACGCATAGGCGCCGATGCCGCCCCCGCGTACACTCAATGCAACGTTAATTACGACTAAATATCAGTCACCGCACGGTACAAAGTATTTAATCTTTCACGTGTAACTCAAACGCGAATCATCTCTCAGCACATAATATATTATCCCTCTCTTTTTCTCGGCGTGACGGCACATAGACATCTCCTACCTTTACTCCTCATGCATTACCGCAGGTAGGCTGAGTGCACTCGTCACACACCCACACCACGTCCGCAGCAGGAAAGAATCCGGCCGGATATAGCGGGCAACAGGACACGGCCAAGCGAAGGGCAAAAAGAGTCAGGCCCCAAGGACATCCGTATTAGCTATAAGCAAGAGGGAGACCGCAGGCCACAGACGCCCGGCAGGCGCCCCGCAACATCCAAATTCTCCCTCCAACCAGCAGAGAGAAAACTGACCACTCGTCACCAGCCCACAGCAAAGCAACCGTGCACCCCGGCTGAGCAAAGCAATCACACCAAGAAGCAGGGAGCCGTGCATATGTCATCTAAAACCCAGCGGGCAGAAGCCGCGGCCATTACATGCACACACAGCGCGCGCCGCCACGCGTCACTTTCACTAAGCGCAGTCGGGCACGCGCTCATGCACACCCAGTGCATGCAGCGTAACTCCTCCTACAGTGACCACTGTCCGGCACACGAAAGTGCACGCCCAAATAATCGCTCTCCGAGCACGTGGCGCTACAGCCACAGAGCGTAGAGAGTCGAGACTCGAGACAGCACACCCTAGTAAGGGCCCGTCCGCATGAACCCGCGCGAAAAGTGTACGCTCTAGAGCACACCTCGGCATTGACAACTCTTATGAAATGCACTCCACAGCCCACACATGTGTTCCACTCCTGTTCCGATACGGAATCAGAATATCACAAACCGTAGAATCCCATCACTCAGAGCAATGCACCGAGGCACCGATTAAGCCCGGGACTGAATAAATATCCCCGAAAAGGATATCTTTCGCCCACGTTACCGCGGTATGCCCGGCGTAAAGGCGACAGCCATAATGGCGTTCGGCTACGGCTCCACGTGCACCGCCCGATATTCGTTATTTTCTCACACAATACCAAGATTCTCGATGCAAAACGCACATCACTCGACACAGGGTCAAAAGAAGCACACGATAAACTCACCTACAACGCAGAAAACGCGTTTTATCCGCACGGTCGCATATGGAAAGGACGGAGCGGCACAGAGGCACGTCCATTCACCTCGACACACACGAGACCTCCAATCGTTACTATTGAATCACAAATTTTAACTAACAAGGGAACGCGAAATGTCAAATTCTGATTTTAATGAAACTTGGTACACTTTGAGGTCACACAAATAGATGAATTTAGAAATTATCAGTTGGTGCTAAAAAACGGTTTAAAGAGGATCCATCCCTTATAGATAGATAGATCAATTTATTTGCTCCCCTCAGGGTTACAAATTTTAACAAATCTTTACATATCTTTACATACATACATCTTATCACTACCTTAACCTACAGCCTACAACTTACTCCTATACATCTATCTTAATCCTATCTTACAATTACCATTACAATCATCTTGCTCGCCAATTATCTCGCTCGCCAATTACCTACACCTACACACACGCTCTCGCACGTCTCCCCGGGACCTCCGCTTCCGTCGCAATCTTTCCCTATCCATTTCCATTTCCTCAGTTTTCTCTCCTAAACCATTATCCTCCTCCGCTCCTTCTGCATTTACTTTCCCTCCCACTCCCCTCTCTCTCCCATTCTCACTCTCACTCTCTCTCTCTTTCTTTCTTACTCTCCTGTCCTTCATTCACTCTCCCCCCTCGTCGTCCTGCTTCTTATCATTCTCCTCCCCCCCCTCGTTCCTAAATCTTTCCAATTTCCTTAACCACTCCTCTCCCTCCCCCCCCTCCCCCAACACTACTTCTACCATCTCTGACCATTCACCCCTCGCACCCCATCTCCCGCATTCTTCCCACACATGCTCCCATGTTTCTACCTCTCGTTGACACATTCTACACCACCTGTCCTCTTCCTTCCCCCAGTACAACCCCTCTTTTACCCCTCCCCCTAATCTATACTTCGCCATCCTAGTCCATCTGCTTTCCGCCCATCCCTTTTTCAAATATCCTGGCAATCCTTTCCCTTTTACCCTCCTATACCACTTATTATATCTCGAGCTTTCTATTCCCTCCCATCTCTCCTCCCTGTCCCTTTCCCTATCCCTCTCTTCTATTCTTCCGAATATGAAGCTCCCCTCTTCTCTTTCTCTCTCCATCTCTTCCACCTCCACCCCTCTTTCCTCAAAGAAATTCCTCCTCTCCTTTTCCCATTCCGACATCCTTCCTCCCCTCTTCGCCCTCTCCTTTATCTCCTCCCAACACAACCTTGCCAATTCACTTCCTTTCCCCCTTGCTAATCTCTCTTCATACCCCCATACCCTCCTTCCTGCTCTTATCCTTATCTTTTCCCTCTGCAATTCTTCTCTCACCATATACCCTGGCGTATTCCAACTCACTCCCATTAACCATTTCAAAAATCTCTCTTGTAATCTTTCCATCCTTTCCCTTTCTGCCCACCCCCATACTTCCACCCCATATGCCATTACCGTCCACACCATCGCGTCGAACATCCACACTCTCTTTCCCCAATCCCCTCCAAACCTTCTTTTTCCTATGCTCCACACCTGTCCCATCGCCTTCATCCCCCTCCTCACTCTGTCCTTCACTTGCTTGTCCTGCTTACCGTTTCTTTGGAACACAAATCCAAGATATTTGAATTCATTAACCTCCTCTATCCTCTTTCCCTCCCACCTCCACACCATCTTTTTCCTTCTCCCTCCTCCTTTGCCAAACCTCATCACTTTCGATTTTCCCACATTCACCACCAGCCCCTTCTCCCTCATATACCTTTCCAACCTTGCCATCATCGCCCTCATTCCCTCTTCCTCCTCTGCCAATAGCACCAAGTCATCTGCATACGCCAGCGTATAAATCTTTCTCCCCTTTAACCTTACTCCTCCCCATCCTCCCTTCTTCATAAAATCTTCCAAATCCGCCATCAACAGATTAAACAACCCCGGACTCAATGGGCACCCTTGCCTCACTCCTCTCCCTGTCCAAAAAATCTCACTTATTTCCTCCCCAATCTTCACCCTGTTCTTCGTTTCTCTTAACAGGTCCATACATCTTGCTCTCAGCCCTTCACTTATTTCCCTCTCTTCTAACCCCTTTCCCAGCACCTCTCTATCCACAGAATCAAACGCGGCTTTCAGATCGACAAAAAATGCTACCACCTTTCCTTTTTCCTTACTGATTTGTCTATTTACCAAATAATTTAACACATAGATGTTGTCCACTGTACCCATCCCCTTCCTAAACCCCGTTTGATTCTGTGGTACCTTACCTCCCTCTTCCACTTCCTTTTCCAATCTTTC